CCTGAGCAAGGCTCCAGCTGGGTGGGGAGGGGGTCGCGGCCGCCCCTCACCTGCTTCCCCCGACGGGCTTCGGGCTACTTTCGCTTCTGCCGGTGGGGATCGCCCTTCTCTAGGCAGAGGTGGGCGGGGCAGCGAGGGAGGGGGCGGGGTCTCTTCCACCCACTTCCCCCCCCCCGATTGGCTGCGAGAGTGAAACGGGTGTGTGTGTGTGTGTGTGTGTGTGTGTGTCTGTGAGCCGGGGGTCTTCCTAGCCCTTCCGGGAGGCCAGTGACAGAACCAGGTCTTGATCTTCCATCAGAAAAGAGCCGGAAGGGACCCTGGAGGTCATCCAGTCCAGCCCTTCCACCCCCACCCCTGCTCCAGCAGGAGACCCGGACAGAATCCCAGAGCTGGAAGGGACCTCGGAGGTCGTCCAGTCCAGCCCCCTGCTCAAGCAGCAGACTCAGTAAGGGTCCCTTCCAGCTCTGTCATTCCGTGCTTCTGTCAGGGTCTCCTGCTCGAGCAGGGGGGGTTGGACCGGATGACCTCCAGAGTCCCCTTCCAGCTCTGTCGTTCCGTGCTTCTGTCAGGGTCTCCTGCTCGAGCAGGGGGGTTGGATTAGATGACCTCCGAGGCGCCTTCCGGCTCTGTTCTTCTGTGCTTCTGTAAGGCTCTCCTGCTTCAGTGGGGGTGGGGGTGGAAGGGTTGGACTAGATGACCTCCAAGGTCTCTTCCGGCTCTGTCCTTCCATGATTCTGTAAGGGTTTCCTGCCTGAGCAGGGGGGTTTGGACTAGATGACCTCCGAGGTCCCTTCCAGCTATGTAATTCTCTAAGGGTCTCCTGCTTGAGCCGGGGGTTGGACTAGATGACCTCCGAGGTCCCTTCCAGCTCTGTTCCAATTGAAAGGCTGCTGGGAGGAGGGGAGAAGGGGGGGAGGCGACCCAGCCCGAAGCGGCCCTTGTGCGATTAATCAACCCGGAGGAAAAAATAGCCTGTTTTTGGGGGCTGGGCCGGGGGGGGGGGGCAGGGGGGGAGAGGGCCGTTCTGGGTGTTTTTTCCTTTCGATCACGTGATTTCCAGGCAGCACCGCCGCCCAGAGACTTTCGCTTTCCTCCGCTGTTCGGATGTCCCCTTATACAGAGTGACAGAGCTGGAAGGGACCCTGGAGGTCATCCAGTCCAACCCCCCCTGCTCGAGGCAGGACACCCTTAGAAAAGGGTAGGATCACCGAGCTGGAAGGGACCCCGGAGCTCAAGCAGGAGACCCTGACAGAATCATAGAGTGACAAGAGTTGGAAGGGACCCTGGAGATCATCTAGTCCAACCCCCTGCTCGAGCAGGAGACCCTGTGCTTTTCTGGAGAAACGACTAAATGACTTCTGGGACCCCTTCCAAACTCTGTCCTTCTATGATTCTGTCAGGGTCTCCTCCTCGAGCAGGGGGCTGGACT